ACACCCTTTTAGCTCAGTAACGAAGTCACTCCTGAGGTTCACCCTTCAGCCAAAGATTAGACAGACCCATAAAACAAAACAAGACTAATGGGGCACAACAGCCTAGGGACAAGCACTAGAAGGCAGGAGGGGACAGGAAAACTGGTTAATAGGGGACCCAAGGTTGAGAAGTGAGAGTGTTGACATGTCGTGGGGTTGTTAACCAATGTCATAAAACAATACGTGTACTGACTGTTTAATGAGAAACTACTTGTTCTGTAAACCTTCATCTAAAGTACAATTAAAAAAAAAAATTAAAAAATAAACAAATGCTTCTCTAAATAGCTTTGTACTTTTCCCCACGTAACAACAAAAGATCACCCTAAGGAGATTTAAATCTGCAAGGTAAATTTAGTATCAGACAATCTCCACCCTAAAATTTTTTCTCCCTACATGTTTGTAGAGCAACACGCCAAAACTATGTGCTACTCACGGGTTGCACCCAGTTTGTAAATGGAGCAATTCATACTAGTTATTGGTGCCATTAGAAGAAGGTACCAAAAACTAGTATGGATGGCTCCATTTCTATCACGTCCTTTGGATCAGAGCCTGAACACACGTTAACACATGGAAAGCAGCTTTCACTATCTACAGTAAGAAGCAGACAGTATACAACGGACAAGCAGTCTCCCGGCTCAAAAGCCGTCCGGGCGGCAATGACGCCTGCCATGCACACACCACTTTGTGTCATGGGTGAGGTACTTAAACAGACAGTCACGGGGCACCCCCCACCCCCAGCCTCTGTAAACTGTCCCAGGTGGATATAGAGAATTCTTCCATGCAAGCACTCCACCTGGCATAATGGTTCAGAGACACCACAGGAGCCTACCCTCTGCCAGTCTCCCCCTGGCCAGGTAGGTCCGCTTAGGTGGCTACAAGCTTAATGCTACGAGTGCTACACGTGTCCGACTAGCACCCTAGCTGAGGAGACCACAAGGTTCCTCAGCTGGTCGTTTTTATATCCCAAAGCCCATGTGACATGCTACACAGACGAGCATCAGACCTCGGAGGGTATGGGGTGGGGACGGAGGCCTCATCATGCCCCTCCTTTCCTGAGACTTGCTACCAAGGAGATGAATCGGGCACTTCCAATTCATTTCCAAATGTTAAGTATGGCCTGGCTGTGTTACAAAGACAAAAGATACCTGAACGACTCAGCTATTTTCAGAAACCAGATAAAGACAAACTTAGTTCTTGATCCCACAATCTTTTTCACCAATTCTGTAAAGCAATTTGCCTTCTCCCATATGTTTCAAATGAGATCTACTGAACTGGCGTATCTGGCTGCTGTAAGTGTGGTGTTTCTTTATTCAATATTTAAAGTCCTTCAAAAAAAAAAAAAAAGTTGCCGTTGAGTGGATTCTGATTCATGGTGACCCCATGTGTGTCAGAGCAGAACTCTGCACCACAGGGTTTTCAATGGCTGTTTTGGAAGTTGATCTTCTGCGGTGCCTCTGAGTGGACTAAACTGTCAACCTTTCAGTTAACAGCCAAGAACGTTAACCGTTTGCACCACCCAGGGACTCCAAATACCTCTTAGGAGAACTATATTTTAAGTGAGGTTTGTCTTTAAAAAAACCAAACCAAACCCATCCCTGTCGAGTCAATTCCAACTCATAGCAACCCTATAGGAAGAATAGAACCGCCCCATAGGGTTTCCAAGGAGCGGCTGGTGGAGTTGAAGTGCTGACCTTTTGGTTAGCAGCTGAGCTCTTAACCACTGTGCCACCAGGGCTCCGGTTCGTCTTTAGCATGCATTTATGTTCTTACAGTTTAGGAGGCTAGATCACTATGTCAGAATCGACTCAATGGCCACAGGTTTGGGTGTTGGTTTGGTAGGAGGCTACAAGTCGGAATGCAGATCACCAGATCTAAGGGAAGGCACTGTTTCCATAAATCCAGCATTCCTTGATTCCTTAAAGATATCCACGTGGCATGTGTCTGTCCCTCTGTGCTTCCTTCTCTCTGCCTAATCTGCTTTTTACATCTCAAAAATGAGTGGGTTTAAGACATACCCTACGTTGATATGGCCTCGTTAAGATAACAAAGAAAATCCTATTCCCAAATGGGATTACATCCACAGGTGTAGGGGTTAGGATTCCAATACATATTTTGGGGAGACACTATTCAATACATAATAACTGGCTAAAATTTGAATGTATACTATGGGCCAGGCACTGTGCTAACTGCTTTGCATCTGTTAATTAGCCCACAAATCACACACTAAGATTGTGTGAAGAACCTGTAACTAAGCCTTTGGTTTCTAATAAATGACAGCACCTCCTTACAAAGTTGAGTAATGATTCACACAATCTGCATTCCCACTCCCTTCTAGCACTGCCTTGTGTATGCCTACAAGTTAATTAAAAATAAGGCTGCAAACTTGTGTCATTAGAAAAATTTAGTCATAAATGTAGTCATATGGGTAAAAATTTGCAATGAGAAATCCAGTTATATTTATGATTGGTTGGAACTAAAGCTTCTAGACACTGGGTTCATTGAGAGCATTGCTAATTATAATTCATGGCTGCTACCCTTAAAAGGAACAGTTAATTGCACCCCGTTCAGAAATTATGAATTAAGCCCATGCACAAGATACTATCAAATGTACAACCTTCATCAAGTAGGGCCTTAGAAAAGCGTGGGTTGATGCCCAAAATCTATCACTGCTGTTCAAATTACACTTTAAACTGATGGCGGCACAAGAATTTCACATTAACATTGAAGAGTAGCACATAATCATGCAGTTGAGTAGCATCTGTTTAAGGAAGTGTACTCCTGCCACTTGGACCTGTTAAAACGCAGTCCTTAATGTAGTGTGAAACACTTCCAAATGCAGCTCTAATGCGTCTAAACACAAGGCCCACTAAATAACAATTTGGCACCAAAGACTTGCTAAGTATTATTAGAAGAGTTAGAGGCTCTTGAACACTAGGCTGAGCCTCTCAGCTGATTTGATTACGGCTATTTTAAGATTGGATGTAATTTAGGAGCTACACCTAGCTATAAAAGGAAATTATCTAAACTTGAATATAGAAATAGTCTACTCCAGTGGTTCCCAGCCTGTTGGCTATGAACTCCAGCAGCATACGGGAGTTATTGTGAGGAGTCCATGAATACACCTGAGCACCAAGTATTGTCTATAAACTAACTATAACCTCCAGAGCAAATGTAGGTATGGTTGCGATGAAAAATACAAGTTTGCTTTAAAAGATTGCTGAATTCATAGTTGCTTTTAGTCATTCTGCATGTTATTAATCATTGGGTTACTTAAGAATAATTAAGTACCCTTATGAGGGTCTAAAAAATTCTGACATCCTTAAAATGGTTGGGTATCTTGTTCTAGCCTGAAGAATTTAGCAAGTGTTCAGGAAACACTTCTAATGCAGACACTCCCATTCATATAAGGTTAAAGCTTCAGAACTCTATCATTTGACAGGTCTATACAGGAGCCTGTCTCCAGAAGACGTGTTGAGTGAGTTAAGCAATAAGAAAGACCAAACAGCAATGCTGAGACCTTTCCAGAGGTCCCTTTACTTCCTACGGTGATAGCCTGAGGAGCTAAGGTTAGCAAGCTAAAGAAGGTATAAAAGCACTGTTTGATTTTGTTTAACTTGCCTGCAATAAGAATACTTACATAATAAACTAGATCCAACACTATCTTTTCTAAAGAAAATGTATCTGGTTTTTAATTTGTAAATAACACTATCAACTGTTTGTATAGCACTTTACAGAAAGTTTTCACACTGTAGGGTCTCAAAGTTGGAACATTCTTATCATTTGTAGTCTTTCCCAAAAAAGTCCACTTCAGAGATGAGAAAACTAACCACCTGAAAGGTTAAGTGGTTTGTCCGAGATTATAGTATAGTTATACTAGAAAAATAAACAAAAAATATTACCACAATAATAGCAATAATAACATAAGTGATGCGGTTAAATTCTAGAAAAGTACCATGCAGAATTTTTTAAAAGCATTTTGTCAGGTCTCAATTAAGGATAACTAGAAATATTTTGTGGTCATATTGTCCTTAAATGAAGGAAAACACAAACAGAAGAAAACACCTCTGATCTGAACTGAAGGGTGATGTTTGGGTGTTGAATATAATTCTTTCTATTCAGTCATTTTCAGACTTAGTATAATAAAAATTCCTCTTTCAAGATCAGTTATTTGAGGCCCTAAAGATTATTTTTTATAACGAAATAATCATTTACTAAAACAAATGGGTTTACAACAAAAGGCAGAGAGTTGGGTTTCAGCACTAATTACAGGGGATCCAATATTTATAAACTTTGCACACATTAAGAAAAAAGCCTTCCTGTCAATAGGATCGTGTGACGCTGGCATATTTCAGGAGTTTGCAGGCTCTCTTTCCCTGGGAATCTTAACCACAGTTAAAATTAAAAGTAAATTCCAGCTCTTTGAAATGGTGTAAATTACAGCCATGCCTGCAGGGAGAAAGAATTACTGAATGCATTTCAGTATGTTTGAAATCCATAGAACCATAACAAAATTTAGTCTGACTCCATAGTTCTTACTTTGTTAAAATATACAATATATGGGGATTTAGAAAACATTACACTGGGGGAAAGCACTATCAGAGATGCTTGCATTTACCGACCACACAGCTTCAAACCGGCAGAGCACTGAGGTGCTAAGAGCTGACCTGGCTCCTACAATCCCTTTCTCTATTTCCTTCAGCACCTGTTGACCGGGACAACTTGCTCATATTTCTTTCTCTGTAGCACTGTGCTGATATAAAACTTGCCCCCTGCCCCAAATATTTCCCTGCAAAGTAAAACATTCACTCTTCTCTTGTGATTTACACTCAACTGCTTGATACTGCACTTCCCGCTGTTTCCCAGGGCAGGTTCTGGTCAGCCCTGTTGATTCAGTCACCCAATCACACATTCAATCAACCAGTGCAATCAACGGGCAGTTAAAGACCATCAATTATGTGCTGAATTCAGTTACCTTAAATGGAACCAGAAGAACAACAAAGAGTTTTAAAGAATTACCAGAACTTTTATTTTTGCTTAATTTTATTAAAAAAATAAATATGTCATAAAGCTTTTTTTTCTTTAGGGAGGAAAAAAGGAACAAGTTTCATAAAATCAAATAAGCAATGGTAAGGTGTCTTAACTTGAAAAAGGCTGGGAATCACCGGTTTACAAGTTATAATCAAATGAAAGAACTGACTCAAGGTGACGGCCACAGCAGGCTGCTTCATGCCAGTGGCAGCAAACAACAGATCAACTAGGGCAAAATAAATAACCGCCTGGAAGCCCTGATAAGTGCTTAAACAGACCGATCCATTGAGACACCAGGATAGATACACCTTGCTTCAAACAACACAGAAGTTCCTGAAAAGTTATGTGTAAATGAAATAACTGCAAACATACTAGGAGAGCTTGGTATCTGAAGGAATTCCATGGTAAATTCTTTTGAATAACCACCTCCACTTTTGTAAATCCAAGAATTTGCTTTGCTTAAGGCGAAGTATATACCTAGCTGCTACTTCTCTGAACTGAGGCGTCAGCACATTCACCTCACAGTGCTCCAGCTGGGCCAGCGGCACAATTTCCAAGTTTGTGTTTCTATCAAGTAAGTAGTGTAAGACAGAGTCAGCCAGGGAACCCAGCTGCGTCTGGCAAAGCAGGCCTGGGGGTGGGACTGCCACCCTTAGCAACAATTCCAAGTCAACAAAGACTTCTGAGAGTCTACTCTGTACAAAGCACAGTAATAAACCTTATCAATTCCGCTGTAGGTGTACTTCCTTTCTAAAACCTGTAATCGGGCTAGGCCTGGAGCCCCAAAAGAAAGTAATACTTGTAAACCTGACAACTGACTTTAACCAAAACAGCTGCCTAACTCCTTCAGCGTGGGGCGGATGATGACGGAAGAGACTGAGCTTTCCGTGGCTGATGTCTGGCAACATCAGTTCTCTCTCCTGTAACTGGTAAGTGAAAATTTCTGCTGATGAGAAAAAATTTTCAAATAGTTCTTTTTACTTCCCCTGAACGTAACTCTGGATCCTCAGGCAAACTCTGTGGGACAGTTAAAGTCACTGATGCTCTCTGGTTGGGTGATGTAGTTCAGTCCTGCTGATACAAATGAAAGTCTCTTTCTACCCACCAGAATCGCGTGAACTTACCCTACACCGTAGCAGGGCTGCTGTGGACAGGGCATAAGCATGGTAGTAGCAGTGCCAGTCAGTCTTATCCCTGTAAACAAACACAACCCTCACTCTGCTCACAGCCCCCATTTCATCCGGCCTAACTTCTACCAGGCCCAGGCCCCAGCCACACTTCACTAGTCAGGCTGATATTCAGTATCTTTGTCTTTTTGTCAAATGCTTATAATAACACTGCTGACTCTACCTGTACAAGTGTGACTGGAAAAGAGGATGCAATCTGTCATCTTTTCCACACTGAGTACACTAACAATTAGTAAGTAATTAAAGGATAAGTGGTCATTTTAAAACTTGTGTTTTTCTTAAAAAACAAAAACAAAACAAACTCACTTTCTAGCACTTAAAAAAGTGGGTCTGAAAAGTGCCCGATTAATGTCCAATGCTGTCCCCCCCTCCCAGCCCCACCCATCCAAAACCTGCTACAAATGCTGGATTGAGTTCATATCAAATAATTTAGCAGTACCAAGATTTTTCAAATGGAAACAGTGTTACTGACTTCTTCATATTGGATAACAAAATAAGGGTAACTCTGGTCATCATTAAAAATGACAAAAATCTGAGGCTCAAAGAAATTATCCACGCAAGAGTCATACAGGTCACTGGTGACGCAGCCGGGATTGACTGGCGGCGGCCGTCTCATGCCGTGACTGCCCATCGTGTATCTGCCAGTCAGCACTTTGGCCAAAAACATGAAATGGACTCCTTTGGAGGACTTCTTAGAAAAGTTGTGAGAGTAGCTTGCCTTCTTTGCAAAGTAACTGCCCTGTCCAAACATGGTGGCATGCTTTCCGCAGACTCGAGGGTCAAAGTTGTGCTTGCAGATTCCATCCACCACATCCTGGGAGGTTCCATGAAATAAATGTCTCTCGTTTATTATCCTGTCACGGCCAAACATTTTCCTGTTCATATATTCCTTTTTCCTAATGTAAAGAGGGGACAGGGAATTTGGAAGAAGTACAGATCAGTTTCATAGGCATTTAGAGGTTGTAGATATAACTTCTCTGTATGGTTTCAATGGGGAGGAAATGTAAAGTAGCTATTGAGGGCAAAAGGCCATGAAAGACCACAGTAGAATTTACACTTTTGCTTTTCTCTTCCATTTCAACTCGAGTTCTCATGTCTTACCTTCCTCAGGATGCCTTCCTTGTCTAACTCCACTGATCTGAGTGTCCCTTAATTCTGAGATTCTTCAAACCTGCAAATGCCCTCTGCGCTACACTGATATGTTTGCTGACTTGAGAGGCAGCGTAGTAAAGTGGTTAAGAGTGAGGCCTCTGGTGCTAGAATGCCCGGGTTTAAATTCCAACACCGTATCTTCTTAGAAGTTATGACCTGTGGCAAGTTACCAAATTTCTCTGGGACTCAAGTTCATCTCTATGAACTGCAGTTTGCAATAATTCTACTCATAGGTCTGATGTAAGGATTAAATGAGTCAATATATGGAAAAATACAAACATATTAAACACTACACAAGTGTTTATTATTATATTCTGCATTTGCCATTAGCTGAATTCAAGAAAAGCGCTCTTAAAACTTTTTATACTTTGACTCACCTTTTATATTTCTCCCAAAGAAACTGATTTTGGACTCTCAATATTTGTAAAATTCTATATTTAAACTCGGGCACAGTCTTATGAAAGAGATTGTAAATGATTCGATAACTTTTGTCCTCTGCAGAAACAGGCACTTGGATGAAGTCCTGAGACGGATGCATATAAACCCAAGTTTCAGGGTAAAAGTTTGCTGAGGTGACTCCATCGGGGCAGATAATCTGTGATGAGGAGGTTGCTTCAAGAGGCGGAGGAGCCTGTGTGGGAACACCACCAAGTGTCCTGGAAGGGGGAAAGGAATGTAAATGTAAAACTTTCAGAAAGAAGTTTATATCTCACATTATAATGTTCTGTGCTAGTCTCAGATACTATAATTTGTATACCTTACACTTGCTTGTGTTTGAAAAACAAAATAAAAATGCTATCTATTTAAGAGAGAAAAAAAATCTTCAAACACTGCCTGTAACATGGATAACCTATTATTAGCCTCTTCCTGGCCTCCTCCCTGTGGAGAAAACTTTGGAATGTATTGCTACAAGGCAACCAAGCAAGAGCCAATTTATAAATATCTTTGCTTTCTGGATCCTGGATTCCTCTTTTGCCTAGATATTTAAAGAAACCTTGTTTCAAGGGAGCAATGATAATTTAGATGCTTTCTTCAAACTTTGCTGCCACTAAGCAGAAAAGGGATCATCACTAAAGGTTATGTGTGAAGAGGGAGAAATGGGGGGTGGGGCACAAAGTGGGGCCAGTCGGGAAGAGTGAGAAGACAAAATGTCAACAAAGTTTAAAAGTCTACTTTGATTTTGCCATAAAAACAAACAAAAATCATGGCAAACCCATTGAAAGCTGGTAACTATTTGGTATTGCTTTATTTTCCAAGAGCACATGTAGTATCAAGGCCATCAACAGGATTCAAGCGTTGTGGATTTGGGCGTGTTCAAGACAGCGCCAATCACTGGGAACTGGGCACCAGAATAAATTTCCTTGAACCTTTCAATTCAGGTCTGTTCTCTGAATGAATTTAAATGAGCAGCAGTTTTCATCAATTACTTATTCCTGCCTGATTGAATGCTTTAATTTACATTATACTTCTTAGCCATTTTCAACACAGAGAAAAAGGGAAGAAGCAGCAGAGAGAAAGGAAATCCTGACCCTGTGACCCCGTGTCAGGGCCAAGGTACTCTAACACTCATCAGCACACAGTGGTCACAAGGAAGCAATAATGTCTGCCAGACTTCAGAAATTAGGAAACTGGAATTTTCAAAAGAGTTTGTGATACAGAGGTTACAACTGTGTGTGAACAGGCTTCTAATCTCCAAAGAGCATAGCTCACCATCGCCGTCATCATAATCTTATCCATCTTATACTCAACACACACTTTACACACGGTAATGCTAATCATTGCAATAGCCTTGCAAGATGGCTTGTTATTCCCACTTTTCAAATAAAGAAACTGAGGTTCAGAAAAGTTAAATAATTTGCTCTAGCAAAGCTAGCAAACAGCAGAGACAGGATTTGAATCCAGCACGGCCTAGATACTAGCTCATGCTCTTTCCACTTGCTATATCCTTCACAAGTGATGGATGAACACTAGGATTCCAACCCAGGCCTGTATAACTCTCTACCACTACTCTACATCATCACAGTCTTCTGACTTTTCAAGAGATGGCTTGATAAGAAGCTAAAAGCTATGAAAGCACAACTGCCTTCTACAGCCCCTGCCCTCTTCAAGTGGCTGTGCCTCCAAGTCCCTTTGAGAGACGAAGTCCTGGGTGGATAGAGGATTTACCCAATCTGAGTCAGAGCACATTAAAAGGGGTACTGGATTCTCCAGCTGTCACAACTGAAGACACAAAGTTCTTGTCCTCTGGAGCGTTTTCTCAGAGCCCTGACAGATCTTCTGTAGCCCTGGTTCATAAGTCCATTTTTCGAAGAGAGGCCCTTTATTAGATCCTCAAAGTCCATAACGCCTTAAAAATCCATCACTACTCTGGAAAAATGGAGGGAAAGCATAGAACACAGGCTCTTCATTTTGGTCTCCCTCTATTCCCGCCCAGCAAAGAGGAAGGTAAGACCCAGCCCACTAGGTTTTCCAATGTTATCAGGGGCTGAAGTTACCAACAGGGGTTTCTGGGTTGGGAGAGCAGGTAACATTCTCCCTAACAATCTTTGCCCAAAACAAGCGTTAGGCTGTTTCAGCCCGTACTGAAAGCCTGACACTGACAACAGAAGAGACTCTGCTCCTTTCTTCCTGATGCCACTCCTGCCTAAAAACCAGTTCTAGACGAGGAAAACTTCAAATGTAGCCTTTCCTTTTTGGGGGGATGGGGGAAGCGGTGGTCTGTTATTTACTTACACATGCCTGAAGGTAAGGCTGTGTAAATAAATCCTATCTATCCTATGATACTAAATTAGATTATATAGAGTAGCATCCATTCCCACCCAAACATCCTAACTTTTAACAAGAAAACATGCTAATTGATCTAAAACATAAAAATGCATATAGACATTGGTCTGGTGAACTTCTACACTCTAGTTGCCATGGATTAAAAAATACATATTTCAAGCACACTTACAAATATGCCTTTATTTTCTGAGAATACTGAGTATTTATTCAGCTCGTGGGGATACCAGTGATATACTGCATGCTTTATAGCACTGTACCAACCTCCTTTAGAGTCAGTCAAAGGGTAGTGACCTGAACTCAAGGACCTCTGAAGAAAGGATTTTCAGAAACCAAAGTCACCTTTTATCACTCTCTTCCCCTCTCCTTTTTAAAGATGTTTCCTAAACCAACTTCAGTGATGAAGTAAAAAATTAATCGTTTTATTCTTTTTTAGGAGGGCCAAAGAAACCGTATCAGGGCTTCTCATAACCATGAGCTAATTACATGGGGTGGATGTCCTTCCAGCTGAAAGAAATCTATCTGAGATGTTCGCCTGTGTAGCCTCAGCTCAATTATTCCAAGAATATGAAAGAATACCTCCTTTTTATCAGCCTGATTAAAAAGCAGCAGGGAAAACTGCATTTAAAAAATGCCAAATTTGTAAGCATATTCATGAATTAAGTCAGCCTCCCACATCCCCTTTGCCCCCTCTGGCATTCCAAACTCTTACAGGCATCTCTGATTCCTTGACAATTGTGGCCTCTTCACCTCCTACATTTTTCTTTGACCCTTTGCATTTAATAACACTTAAAAACCAAACCAAACAAAAAAACCTTTCTTCTTGGCTAAGACCATGGACCCTCTGGAGTCCACTTCTTAAATCTGCTTTTTGGAACCAAGCCCTGTTCTCTTTCTCCCTTCCAGGCCAGTCCAAGTGCCCCTCAGGCGCAGACTCTAGGGCAGATGGGATCTGAAGTGCTGCATTTACCACTAGACCCTGGTGAACCTGCTGCTTCTCTGTTCTTTTCTACTTGAAGTGTCTGCATAATCTCTTTGATTTGCTGAGCTCTTACTTTATACCTGATTATCACTGTTCCAGGCAGGAAGACTAAAACAGGAAATTTTCCAAAGAAAAAGGGAGGAGAGTGACATTTTTGTTCTCTTGGAAGCCTATATTATCAACAGTAAGGCCTTACTTGTGACATTAATCTACTGCTGCTTATATTATTTTTATAGTTCATGCTTTTACAAAACAAGCCTAAGTTTAAAGAGAGAGAGAGGTTATTTCACAATTACTTGTCTCAGGTTCTAAACAAATCAATTTTCCCTCTTCATTCAAACTCCCCAGCAATGCAGCCTGTGAATGAGCATTCTTACCCTCACACAGAAGGTGCATCTCACCTGATGGGCTCAGCACGCCAAGCTGCCCGTCTCACTAGTGAGTTCCACCACCTAACTAGGAGGACAATATGCTCCTGACTACTGGACGCAGACACTATTAACAGCTGGGCTAGTGGAATCACAGAGATGGTATTTTTATTTGTTCTAATTTAAAAAAAACAAAACAACCTACAAGGCAAAAATTTTCACAACTGGCCTTTGAAGAAAGCACACATTTACTCTAAGCCAACATATCTCTCTAAAAGTGATTTATTACAAATAATTTTCAGATGCAGAGCATTTCTGGGATTTTTCTTTGTATTTTATTTTTTTATGTTCCTTTTGCAATCTCAGAATTAGTCATTAAGATTCTGTCATAACAATCTGGGGAAAGCACAGTTGGGCTTGAAAGAAAAACTACTAATAAGAATAAAAACAGCGTCTTCACCTCAAAGGTCAGCAGAGAGACTAACCAATATTACTTGAGATCTCTCAAGTTTATAAAACCAAGCAAATCTAGTATTTTCAAAATCAGGCTCTAAAAATGGTAAATCTGGTTGGAGTATATGATGATTTCCCTAGAGAAAACGAACTTTCCAAGGTGGCCACGCTGATGGTGATGGGTCGCAGCTTCTGGCATCTATGCAGTGTCAGCGGGAGAGGGAAGGAAGAAATGGTAATTGGGAAAAAGGGAGACGAGCTCACCTACTTGAATTCAGTCTATCTTTTACCAAGAAATGGTATTCTTAATAAGTATGATGTGTCTCTAGTGAGTATCACAGGGAGAAGTGCCTTACTTATTAGCAAACAAGAATGTAAAGTATCTGAAAAGGTGAATTTTTTCTTCCCATTCAAACTCACTCAAGGAAGAAGAATGGAGAACACTATCTCCTTACAGGACTCTCGTGGCACAGCCATTTATCTGGGCTGGGAAGTCCTGTAACATGGAAGGATCTCATCAGAAAACGCAGTTTTCCATGAAGGAAGTGAATGCCAACTGTCACATCCCAGGTATAATTACTTTTAACTGTGGAAAAATGTTAGCTCTACCTTGTTTTTAGTTTAAAAACAAAACAAAAACTCCAACAGGAGAGTCACTCTTAGAGCTGTCCTCCTAGTGAAGGGCAGAAGTCATGCTGAGCCAATCAAGCGAGATGCAGATGTAACTACAGCTTGGCTGAACTCTATCTGTTGAAGAAGCAAACCCAAAGAATAATTCAGAATTCCAATTCTAGAGGTAACAGGCAAGATAGTCTCATCACTTAAAACTGTTTGCTCTGACATTCAGCAGTGCATGTACATAAAATGTGAGCACAGATGCGGCTCTCCCTTGGACACTTACTGTAAATACGGAAGCAGGATGAAGCAGGAGCGGAAGAGGGGTCTCTTTTTTATCTCTCTCCTGAAGAAGGAGTTGTGGAGCGTGTAGTGGTGGCTCCACATCACAAATCGAACCTCTTTCAGACCCCGGGAGTTAGCTTCCTCAATCAGTCGAATAACAGACTGCGGAGTAGAAAACGAAAGGTAAAGAAAAAAGAGCAGGTTTTTTTAAAAAAGGAAATAAATAATCACTATGAAATATGCAAAAATGCTAATGCAACTAAAGGCAAAAATAGTTAAACCCTGCTCTTAACATCAGAGGAATTTCAATAAAATACAATGAGTCAAATCAATTCCCTTTATTAAGTTGGGTTTTTTTCTGGGCACGGTGGGGATGCAGAGTGGAAGGATGTTTCCTGTTTGGAAGGGCATGGATGGATGCCTTACAAAATATGTGAGGCCGAGGGAACCACTCTATTCCATGTGAGGTTTTAACAATGTCCTAAGAGATTTTTTGGTGTATATTTCTTAAGGGAATTTCCAGAAGAGGAATTAAAGAGGAATTAAGCTCCAAACCTAAGACACTTCTCAGAGGAAAAATGCAAGGACAGTCCAAGAATTCTGAGAATACATTCAAACAGACTCTTATTTTCTTTGGAAGGTAGATACGATTATTTTTAAAAAGTCAGAAATTTTAGTTTAACGTAGTATTTTATAACAACTAATATACTAGGTTCTCTTCCTTTGCAATTTCTTAAAAAAAAAAAAACTGAAGTAGGTAAGTCAGTTCTCCCTTTTTTGTAATTCTAGAAATGAATTTAATCAAATGAAGAAGTCAGATCTTTGGGATGTAAAATTAAAGTTCAATTCATTTAAACTTGACTCAGAATTCTCATTCATAGGCAAAGTAAATCATCATCATTTTAAAATTCTGCTTTATGCTTGATCAGCTATTTTTACTGTCTAAGACTGAGGATGTATGTGCAAATAGGACAGAGTTTTAAATGACTGATTTTGCCTGGCCATCACTCAATAAATATTTTCAAGTACTTCTTCCAGGGGTCTAAGAGTGATTATTATTCCACTAGACTTCTGAAATGCTCGGTGTAACACATGAGCCATCCCCACGAGCCCAGGAAGCAGACAGAGCCAGCAGTCACTCCAGTGCTCATCTCATTAAAATTACTCCAACAGCAACTGATTTTATATTTTAAGATTCTGGGGAAAGCATTTTATTTCTCCAAAGATACTGACATTCTATATTAGGGATATCAGCAGATTAATGGGAAGAGACACATTTTCAGAAAAATTAAGAACGAAAAGTCTTACTTAACAAGACTCAATTTTACATTCGTAAGTTCTATGATGACAATTTATAGTTCTGGCCAGTCATTGTAGGAAAGAACAAAACAACAGTGAAAGACAAAAAAATGTAAACGCATTTTTTTGAAAAAGAACCTATAAATACCTCAGGATATTCTCGCCATCCAAAGTGGTCCCTACAGAAGTATTTCCAGACTGTGTGGTAAACGGAGTTGACATTGCTAGACGGTGGTGTGGACAGCCTTCGTAGTTGGTCAAAATCAGTTGTTTCATACACATTCATGGCATTCAAATCTGCCCAAAATTCTCGTCCCCTATAAGAGCCAAGAAAAAAACTATTAATATTAATATATTTGCATAGACATATCTAAATACTTCATTGGACATCAAAAATATCTAGGATAGCCTGTTGTGAAACTTTTCAAAACTTGGCTTCCTTGGAGTAAAAGGACAGTAACTGGCTGTTTCCCCAACACCCATTTCCTACATTCCCTTTCTTAGCAAGACTCAAAATTTCCAGGTCATAGAGTTAGGGTAGGATTGATTTCACCCCAGTATCACTGGCCTAAACCAAGCAACATAATCCCATTCTCCCTTCCACTGTGGGATGAGTCAAACCGAGGTCTCGGCCAGTTGTGGAGTAAGCTTTAGGGTGGAGCTGACACAGACAATGGACAGTGAAACAAAAGAAACTTCTCTTGCAGTGTCCTCTTTTTTCAGATGCATCAGTTTACCTAAACCGACAGAGCATATACAGCATTGCCCGATGAAAAACAGGAAACAAGAAAAATGACTCTAGATGAGGCCCAATACTGCTAAACCACTGAACATCAATAATGGGTGGGTTTATGGTGATGGGAAATTTGGCAACAATTATGGGTGGTGATCGAACAATATGATTACTATAATTGATGTCACTAAATTATATACCTGGAAAAGGTTGAACTGGCAATGTTGTGTTATATATATTTTTACAACAATAAAGAAAATGGGTGAGAAAAAAAAGTTGGCAAAACATGAACAGAGAAATAGTTGGATTATGAGGTTTTGCTAAGAGAATACTTCTGCCATTCTGTCAGTGTTTTGCTACTGCTGAGTCAGCATTTCATGACTGTTTCGATACTATGGGGGAATCCTACTACATGAATCATAATCATTTAAGAAATTCATTTATAAAAGGTGGTCCAATTCAAACATTTGGGTTTCTTTTTTAATGGAACTTCATTTAGTGTTTAAAACATGTGAAGCGTTAGATGAAGTAAGTACATTAAAAATAACAAGATTGACAAAATCTTCATTGTGCTCCTCTCTTTCCTTTTTGTGTATGTTCAAAGATTCCCTAAGAAAATATAAAAAATGAAACGTATTATAAAATAATATCACAGATATTAATAACCGAGTCACTAAATTGCAGAATACATCCCCTCAACACTGGAAAGGTCACACTTCCTGCCACAGTAGATTTCCAAATGGACGCATGTAACACACAAAACACATGGGTCCAGTGAGCATTCAGAATAATTGGTACATGTGAAATTCAAATTTTCCCAATAATTACCTATCTTCCTTGCTGTAAATTAGGATTCTGAAGAGTATTAACTTGGCCTATGGGTTTTGTTGGTCAGTGAAACATTTCCCAAATTCTACTCTTGAAACACTTGTTTCAAGGACTGTTAATAGCTATTCTGTGCAAAAGAAAATTCTGTGGTCAAATTCTTAAAAATGACCTCATTACAGACTTATACAATTTACTTACTAGCGCCTCCCCTCAGTCCCTTTAATAAGCTAACATAGATACTGAAGCAGCATAACGAGGGCTGTTAAGCATCCCTCCAAACCTTACGTGACAATATCCTCCCTTTTCGTCATGAATACCTATTAACATCTCTCAATAAACTCTTGCCAAATGTCAAGAGAAGAAAATCTACTTCCCACCCTCCATTCTGATGTTGGTAATTTTTAAATCAGGTTCTACTCTTTGAGGAAAAAAAACTCAAGTTATATACCAAACCGATGGTGCCAAGAAGTACATAACTTGTAAAAAGCAGTATGTTCCTTTAAAAAATCCTAAAGATATTCAAGAATATCCTGCTTTCTTGCTTAAAAAGAATACTAATTAGCAAGATGTAAGTTTTCGTTTTTTAACATTTTACTGTATTTTTGGTGAAAGTGTGGATGTAGTTTTAAAAAGCACATAATTTTAATTAAGGATAAAATGGGCATAAGACAGTCAAATTTAGTTTAAAATCACATTTGTTCACTGCTTTGTACAGTAAATAGAAATATTTAATTCAAAAGGAAAAGAATGTTTCTAGGAAGTCCTTAAAAACAAACAAACAAAAACACTGAAAACTGAAACTCCTATGCCTAAATTAAACTTTGCATGAAGCTGCCTTAAATAATTTTCATTGAACTTCAGAAGAATCTGACATTAACGCTGGGAAGAGAGATGTTAACTTCTTTTCCCCTCTTAAGACCATTTCTAGTTTCTAAATAGATTTTCCCCTTTTAAATCCATTTCCTAGCAACTGTTCCCAATTATGAGTTAACAAATCCTCAGTATTTCCTTTAAGGAGTTCTTAGAACAGCAGTCATTACATTAACACGCACTATAATATAAACAGCCAAAGCTTTTTGCTGTTCAAGTGTCAGATTTTATTCCGGACATCACTCAGGCAATTTCTGTTTAAGCCTGTATTATTGAGACTTCACAGATAATGATTTGCATGAGAAAGACATCTTCAAGTGCAGCTTTTGCTACATTCTCTATGCATTTCAGTCCTTTGGGCATCATGAAATTTCGATGACAAATCCTAATTTACTACAATCAACTGTTCTTTGGACTGATGTATCAAAGTACTGTTTTAGCTCTTTTTGATTTTCAATATGCTTTTCTAGACTTGACAGAGACAAAACAACAAATCTGAAAAACATTAAATTATCTCTTTATAAGATTAATTTTACCACCTGCTCTCCCTTAAACAGGGAATGCTTTAAGAATTCAAAGCCAAGAGTTTTTCTCCCCCCTCAATCTTCATCAGTATAAATGCATGCAGTACGGATGCCAAGTGTTCAACATCTACCACTCTTTATCAAACCATTGTTTCCTATTATCAGAAAGCAGTTATGAGTCATCTATGTGTGGTAATGGTGATGGTGGGCTGTATTAGGCAATACACAAAGAATTAAACAGATGCAGTCCCTGGCATCCAGGGGCTTCTAAAAGAGGGGCTTCCAACAAGACACAAAACAAAAGCAGCAGTACATCTGTCTATCTAAACTCATCAGTTGAAAGTACATTCTGGGAATAAGAGGACAAATGATAGACACACAGCTTTGTAATAGAGGAAGTGGTTATTGGAGTCCAGGAACGGATAAAGGTTACGAAAACTAAGAAGTTTATTATATCAATTCAAGAGGCTTTCTGTGTAAGAATTTTAGGAGCATTTTAAATAACCGAAAATATCACCATGAGTAAAGGGTTGTGTGGAAGAGCAAAAAAAGTTCTTCAAGCACTTTGCATCTTGGAAAGAGGGTGGGGACAGGAAGGTACAGGAGTGGTACAGATAGCTGGAAAAGGAGACCTTCTAAGCGAGGGTACACAAGAGATGAGGCAATGTGAGCCAGGGTGTAACAGGCCATTTGAGAGATGTCAGGCTATGAGCTGAGGAGGTACGGCCACGGTCACAGAGCCTTAGGCGTAAGTGTAGGGGTTTAGAGTATTAAGTAAATAAAAACAAAGAGTCTAGGTGGTAAGTACAGTAAAAAGAGACAGTGCCTGACATGGGGGTGGGGGTTATGGAAGTGGGTGTCTTTGTAAAAGCAGGGTGCAGTAAGTAATCCTGTTTGGCAAGGGCATTCCTACAGAGGGGTGGCCAGAAAGAAATGAGTATGGGAGACGGCCACTGTGCAGCAGGATTAGATTTTGCTAAATATATTACATGTAGCTAATCAATCCAGATTGATTTACCCTATTATGATGAGTCAAAACAAAAAATCTCGTGAACGGGCTGCTGATTTTTACTATAAGAATAAACTTAAATCATTGAAATATTATTAACGATTCTATTTCTACATGATTTGCCAACACACACACACCCCACCAGACATACCACCATGAAAGTCCAGATGTAAAAATAATTTAGAATTTAGAATTCTGAAAAGGACACCTATTCTCATAATTTAGATACTCTGTCATTGTTCTCCTCCTAGCCAACAAATATCTTGACATACTAATTAATTCCACATTTTTCTGGCATATATTATCAGCGCATAGAACACCAACACCATGTCAGAAAGTATGCCCCCACACCATCATTTCTTCCATGTGTGTTTCAGATACTAAATGCAGGAAAGTAAAAAGGCCTATAACGTAAACGATAAACAGAGCTGAATAAAACAGAAATTAGTTAAGAACACAATGTCTTTCTCAGATTAACAGTTCTTCAGTTTATACACTGGGGAGCTCAGAAAAGAGGGTTACCATTTTAAGCAATTTATTTATTTATACGTTGTTTGAAACTAAGGAAAAAATGTGACAGTTAGAAAAAGTGCTCTGGGAACAACCGAGAGGCAGAAGGCCTACCTCACTGGGAAAGGGGTCAGGAAAAGTGGTCAAGTGAGGTGTCCCAGAGTGGGTGAAACGGGAGCCACATGCAGACAAAGGGAGGCTGAGTGACATGCATAGAACCTAACCTACCAAGGCTCCAGAGAGCGTCTGAGAAGCACATGCTGTGTGTGTGTGTGTGTGTGTGTGTGTGTGTGCGTGTGTGTGGTGTGTGCGCGCGCGCGCGCATCTGAGAAGCGCATGCAGTGTGTGTGTGTGTGTGTGAGAGAGAGGATGGTAAGAGGGAAGGCGGGACTGGGTAGGCTGGCTGGGGTCAGATAATGAAGAGCTTTGTACGCTGGATTAAGAGGTTCGGACTTGATTCGCGGGCAGCAGGAATCTCTGATGGATTCTCAACAAGCTCCATACTTATCTTTTATAAAGACCACTCTGACAGTAGCAGTATGAAAGATTTTGTTTATTTATTTTTGGAAACAGAGGGCAGGGAAAGGTGAAGGAAGGATGAAGAGGCACTCATTTGTAAATATTTAAAGAACTTAAGCATTCTATACTTAGCCATTTACAGCTATTAGGACTGCACTCGAGACAATGATGAGGGAGGACTAAGGCGGCAGCAGTGGAGACGATTTGAGAAGGGTTAGAATCTAATTGGATGGAGGATGATTACATGTGGGGCAGAAGCAGTGGAAAGCAGAAAGTCCAGGATGTGTCCCAGGTTTCTGATCTGTGTGACTGGATAGACAATGG